AGGGGGCTGGGGGGGGGGGGACATTTGTAACACTTTCAATAAAGATAAATTTTTAAAAATAATAAAGGTATATATTCTCCAGAAAGTTAGAAAATAGCAGAATACATCATTTAACACGAATGGCGCCTGTTATTAAAGCTTCAGTTTTCAAAAGGGAGAGTGAAGAAATGAGTGGGGAAAATAGAGTGACTATGAGCCCTTGTAATAAAACGCGGTAAGATGAGTGGTGACTGAGGATTTTCCAGAGTACGCAGAGCTAGCTGTACAAGGAACGGAAAGCACTCAGCATCTTAAGCTACACAGATGCCTTAGAACGCTGAACAACATTCACAAACACAGCATTATGCTATCAGCTAGCCATGAGATGATGTCTGGCGACATAAAGAGTAATCTGTAATTTTGGGGTACGACTGGATCTCAGGTAAACTGGTGGGGCAGACTAGCCAGCTGCCATATAGGAACCAGCTCAATCAGCCTTGTCGGGTGCTGCGGCTCTCACTGCCGGTCTGCAGGAGCTCTCTTAGCTTGTCCACTTACACTTCCCTTGGACCCATTAAGGAAACCAAGTGGAAGGTACAGCAGCATTTGAAAATCTGGGGATTTATAAGATCTCGGGACAAATCACTCCAACGTCAAGCATGTACTGAACTTGATGAGAATTTGTTCTGAGTTCAAATATTAACACAAGCCCTGGCCGGTGTGTCTCAGTGGTTAGAGCATGGGCTCACGCTCCGAAGGGCTGCAGGTTCAATTCCCAGTCCAGGGCACGTACCTGGGTTGCAGGTTCAATTCCCGGCCCTGGTCGGGGCACATGCAGGAGGAAACCAATCAATGTTTCCTATGCAGAGATACTCTGGTATAAATTTTTATTTGAATTTCGACAGGTAATTAAAGTAACCTAAATACTAAAAGGAAAGAAGAGCTATGTGCAAACACTTAAAGGTCTTATAATGAATTTGTAGACCACTTTAGAAAAAGTGGTCTTTCACTGTTGAATTATTAAGAGTGGCACTGGTTACCCACAAATGACACTAAGACAGTTTTTTTAATGAGGGCTGGAAAGAGGAGCAGAAAGGAGCTACCATGGTTCCAAGTGGCTACCTGCTTCCCCGGGGGCCACGTGTCTGGCAGCAGGGAGGAGATAGCAGCACCCAGGCACAGAGGCATGAAAAAATGACATGAAATTTTTAAAAGGGAAGATGATCATATTAACAAAGGTAGAAGGGAAACAATGAGGGAGGTGAGGCTCAAGGAGTAATCAGTGGTTGCACCCTCCCAGAAGTGACCAAATAAAACAAAAATCTCCACCCTAGTCACTGACCAGTAGCTTTTAGAGTTGTTTCTTACAAGCTGGAAAAGTGCTCTCTGTAAAACAAATACCTGTTTTAATGCCATAACAAGTGCTCAGACATAGATCTATCCGTTTAACCCTAAGAATTTAGAACTGTTTTCCCCAGAAGAGGTGTGCTGTGAATTCCATGCGAAGGGGAGCTTTCGAGATGCTGATTCAGGAAAGAATCAGCAGCCGGCAGGCATGGGATTTCAGCCCCTCCCTCTGTTCCCACCTCCCCGGCCTACATCTCACCAGGGTCACAGGGAAAGCAGCTCTGCCAGAATTTGGCCAAAAAGCAAGCATCTTCTAGTTCAGAAACGCAAGCTAAATAGCCACATGTACCTGTGGTGCCCCCGACAGGCCGGGGCCGGGCCACCGATGGCATGTCCTCAGAGTAGATCCCTCGGGCAGCAAACGGGGCTTCAGCTGATGCCTGTGGCTGCTGGGGCTCGGGAGGCACCAGCTCCGAAGACTGCAGCAAACCAGGGCCAAAACCGGGTCTGAAAGCAAAGCACACCAAGCACATCAGGACCACATTGCACCCTGGCCCTGGCGTTCGATCAGCTGCACCCTGAGTCCTACAGAAAAACAAGACCTATTTGGCTACTGGCCTATTGTCCATCTCCTCTCCTGAGACAGGGACTTTTCCTATTTGCTCACGGCTGAGTCTCCAGCCCTCAGATCAGTGGCCGGAATTAGCAGATGCTTGAAAAATCTCTGTCGGATGATGAAAGAAGAAATACTTTAGTTTACAGGTCGAGAGAAGGTGCAGTCAAGGGCCAGGGCTGCTCATCTCCAGCATTGAACTAAAGGGGTGGTCATCAAGTTGGCTACACGTTAGCATCGCTTGAGGGGCTTTTAAAGGCCCCGATGCCCACACTGTACCCCAGACCAATTAAAACAGAATCTCTAGAAGTGGGGCCCAGACATTGGTAGTTTTTAAAGTTCCAGTGATGATCCTGAAGTTCAAGGCAGAAAACCAGTGCTCGAAAGCAGTGGTTCTTAAGCTTACGGCCTCAGGATCCCTTTACACTCATAAAAAATAGTGAAGATTCCCAGAGCTTTTATTTGTGTGTATTGTATCTATAGATATTTATTGTATTTGAAATTAAAACTTAGAAATTTTTTAAATACCTATTTCTTAAATTCACTTAAAATAACACTATTAAATGTATTACATGTTAACATTTTCCCTGAAATTAACTATATTTCCTCCCCAAAAAAAATTAGCAAGAAAATTTTTTACTACTTTTTCAAACTTCCGTTAGAGAAGACATGTGGATTCTTATATACTTTGTATTTAATCAGTTGCCATAAGTAAGTAGGGGGAAAAGGGAGGGATATTTTAATAGCCCTTTCAGCTAATACTCAATATTTCAGATAAACCTTCTTCTTTGATACCACACCAATACTCAATGAAGTTTCCTTAAGGGTCAGTGGCGATGTGGCATCTGAAACAATGAACTTGAACTTTCTATATTCTATTACATTAAAACCCAGTGGTGGTCTGTCTTGCACTTGGAATGGATCCACACATGACTTTATGACACTGGTCATTTGGAAAATATTAGTTCGCTGCGTTCTGAAGTTTTTCTAGATATTGATACATTTCATTTCACAGTATTAAAAATATCACACTCATTAATATCACCATCGAGCTCATCAGCAGCGTCTTTAAGGACCAGAGCGCTGTCAAGTTCACGGTGGCAGACAAAAGCCTCCAAAACTGTAATTTTATCCCTGGCAACAGATACTGTCAGGTGTTTTTCTTGAAGTGACAGGCCCACCTAGTTCACATTTAAGACAGTGTCTGCCAAACACCCAAGTCTGAATTACGATGTCTGCTGGTTGTTGGTTCCAGTAAAAACACGGAGCGGTTAGTTCGGTTCTCAGCTCAAACACCTGAACTCAAAACACCTTCAAAATTCCATATTCAGCAAAGTACTTTATTTGTAGTTCCTCTTTTGTCACACAGACTATGAAAGACTCAAGGCTTTCAGTTTAATAAAATTAATCACTTTTACTACGCCATCAAGGACATCCTAACATAAAAGTGGCATTTTTTGGAAGCGGCAATTGCGCCGCAGTGAAGACGACAACGACCCAGTACGATTCGGGGCCACTGCCCTGATTCCTGCTGAAGCACCAGCGTGTGCACCCGCCATCGCTCCCACACCTCAGTGCAAATGATGAAAAATGTCCAATGACATCTTAGCACTATCATGAAAATAGTTTTGACTTCACAGAGCCCCCTGAAAGGGTCGCAAGGACCCTCCAGGGGTCTCAGAATCCCACTTGAGAGCCACTCCTCTAAAGAAAGTCAAGAATTTAAAAAGATGAGGGTCTAAGTACAATTCTTGGCAAATAACAGTCGACCCGTAATTAACAGATCAAACCAGTTCGATGAGAAAGCAGACTGACTTGCCCTCATTCCACGGTGTTATTTCTGGAGTGTATCTCAGGAACTGGCACCCAGGCCATCTATATTCCTCTTTAAATAACTGCTGCTGTTTTACACTGACCTCAGGGAGAGACGGTGACATCGCTGACCTTACAGATCTACGAGGTTAACATAAGGCGAGATCTGTCCACTGGAGCTCACCTGGCCTCATTCTGTTCTCTGGCCCATCCACCCATGGACGAGCTCTCACTCTTTACTTCATTACTGCTACTTGACACAGACGGTTAGCCCCCTCCTGCCTACATGTGCGGCTCTTTTCTCCTAAACTGTGCATTCCGGGGTTCGGTCTGATCCACACATTCTGGATTCCTTCAGCTTGGGTGACCATAAAGTTTGTCATCCAAACCAGAACACCTTGGAGAGTGGAAGTTATTCATAATTATGCTGGACAACAGGTATGAACCGGAACTGAACTGGGAGAACCAGATCGTATGGTCGCCTGTCATTAAGTACCTCCCCGGGTCACCCCGCCTGTGTTGTTCTGGGACCACAACGCAGTGCCTGGGCGGGGGAGCGGGGCTGGGGGAAATAAAACAAGCCCTTCTGAAAATGAGGGCGGATGCAGAAAACTAACAGAAAAAGTGCAGAGAAGCATACAGCGTTCCCACTCCTGTGAGGCTCCTGGTCACTGAAGGGAAGCTGCATATAATTTCTGCGACCGTTTTCCTGCAATTCCTTCTTGGTAATAAATCAGCTGTCCACTCACGTGTAGGTCTGTTTATAGACTTTCTGGTCTATCCAACTGATCTACGTTTCTAGCTTTACAGCAACACCACACAGTCTTAATTACTTGACAGTAATTTATAAACATTTAGAATAGTCCTAACATCTCTGTATTTCCACATAAATTTTAGATTCAGCGTGTCAGTTTCCATGGATTTAAAAAGAACAAAACAGTGAACTACTGGGGTTTTGAAAGGGACCGCAACGAACCTGTTGATCGCTTGGGGAGAACTGACATTTAAAAGATACTGAGTGTCCAACCCATGAACACCTTTCTTGACAGGGCCTGAATATCTTCAGTTATATTTACTCTGAGGTATTTTATATTTTTGAACGGTATTTTATATAGTATCTTTAAATTTTTTTATTTTCTGTCTGTTGCTTATAAACATAAAAATTATACCAGAATCATTGGCTTATTACAAGCTAACCTAAATTAGTACTCTTACATCTTCCCAGGCAGTGGGTTTTAACTCTATATTAGGCATAATTATTTTTATTTACTTACTTATTTATTTATTTATTTTGTTGATTTCAGAGAGAGGAAGGGGAGAGGGAGAGAGAGAGAGAAACATCGATGATGAGAGTCACTGATCGGCTGCCTCCTGCACGCCCCCGACTGGGGATGGAGCCCACAACCCGGGCATGTGCCCTGACTGGGAATCGAACCTCAATCTCCTGGATCCTAGGTCAGTGTTCAACCGCTGAGCCATGCCGGCCAGGCTAAACACAATTACTTTAAAATCTGTGTTCAGTACCTCCAATACCTGGATCCCCTCTAATTCCTTTTTTACTGTTGGCTTCTCTTTACTTTTTTAAAATCATACTTTCTTTTCTTCTCATATGCCTAGTCGTGTGTGTCTATGTGTGTGTGTGTCTGTTTGTGTATCTGACCTCATGCAAAACTATGATGATACTGGGAGGCCTAATATGGTATTATCTTCCCATAAAGGAGAGTTAACATTTGTTTCTGCCAGGCAGCTGGAGGGACATCTGGTCACCTCAATCCAATGAGGGAGTCAGACCATCCAAAGCCGAGTTTGGTCCTTGTAGGGAACCCTGTACCTACCGTTACCTCTTACTCCAAGGTATAGCCCCTAAGGGTCTGAGCGCAAGCCTCTGGGTGCTCACAAGGGCCTCTGCTGATCCTCCCAGCCCCGGGAGCCTGTCAGAAGCTTTGCTCAGCTTCTCAGCCGCCTCCTCCAAAATCAGCAGGTGCCCCTGGGAGGGAGCGGCTCAGAAGGCAGGGCTACCTCCCGGGATTTCCTAGACCCTGGGCCCATACTGCTCCACTGCCGTTAGCTCTCTGGGTTCTGTATTTTTATTTTAAAACCTTGTCTAACTTTTCCAGCTGTCCTCAGCAAATGATCTATTCTGCCATTACTGGAAGCAGAACTTAAATTCTAACTTCTTCCCTCCTCTTCTAGTTAGGTCAAGAGAATACAACTCAGAGTTTTGCATCTGCTCATATTACATTAAAAAAAAGTTTACAAAATTAAATTTTTAAGAAAAGAAAAACAGCCTGTGCGAGGATTCCTAATACATTTTCTCCTGAGAACTTTACCTTGGCAATGGGCCTGATGGGGGAGTCATTCCATAGTCGTCATATCTCTGGAAGAAATTCAAAATAAGATGAAGATTAATAGTTAATACTTATTAGAAGGTGACAACAGCAAACTTATAAATTGAGGTTTATGGGATCACCTTTCAGGAGAATTATTTTCTCATAAAAAGTTAGCATGCTACTTGGGCATTCCGCCATCACTTAACCCAGAAGGTTCAGTTTGGGGAACTGGGCTACCAGACTTTAAAACACACACACACACACACACACACACACACACACACAGCTTGCCCTGGCCGGTGTGGCTCAGTGGTCGAGTGTTGACCTATAAACCAGGAAATCACAGTTCGATTCCGGTCAGGGCACATGCCTGGCTTGAGGGCTTGATCCCCAGCAGGAGGCAGCCAATCAATCACTCTCTCTCATCGTTGGTGTTTCTCTCCACATCTTTTTAAAAAATAATAAAAAAATCAAACAGACTCATAGATACAGAGAACAGAGGGGAGGGAGCTGGGGAGGGTGAAAAAGGTGAAGGACTGAGAAGTACAGCTTGGTAGTTACAAAACAGTCACGGGGACGTAAAGCCCAGCATAGGGACTATAGTCAATAATATTGTGATAACTATGTACGGGGCCAGGTGGGTACTGGAAATATCAGGGGGAACATTTTGTAAAGTACCTGATTGTCTAACCACTATGCTGTACACCTGAAACGAATATAAAATAATACTGAATGTCAGCTGTAACGGAAAAAAATTAAGAAAAACAAAAAGAGAGAACGCAAGACTCAGAGGCTCCTGGTAGGTCCTCGTCTTCATTCCAAGACCTCCTGTCACCCAGAGGACCCATCGTGTCTTAGCCTCTCGGCTCGCTG